CCAATTACGAATTTTATGGATAAATTAGGGCTTTATGAATGATCTAGGGTTCATCATTTTAGATTTGGGTATCTTTGTGACGTCATCAACCCGGCATACCAGGACATAGTGAGGTAAACAATCTCAACGGCACATCATGTAAATAACACTACTTACCAAAATACCGAGTATATCAACATAACATAATAGGTATTACCCTTGGTAAATCAAACAAGCAAGTGTTGAATACATTTGCCCATTTATTGTCGTACGAGTTAAGAGAACACAATAATTACTAAGGTCTAGATTATTTACTTGGTCAGTACAAGATAATCTTCTTCTCCTATATGTCCGTTCAATACATCTGAGATGTACTAGTGTAATTTGTTAGCCAAAGATCAATTAACTCCAAAATCACTCTACAACCTTTCCCAACAGATAGTTCAATTTCGTCTAGGCTGTGAACAAATATTTATATTTTACAAGACACTGATAATATGATCTTCTTTTCGACCCATCAAACCATATTCTCTACAATGTAGAATAAAGAAAATATACTTGCATAAATAAATAAACTACAAACACACACTAAACTAAAACACGAATCTCATTCAAAATGGTATTGTCAGAAACTAAAAGCCAAACTTTTACAATATGCCCTAACAAGTATCACCATTGTATAATCCAATTTGGGGGACATTAATCTTGACAAGGAGCACCTCAGTCAAAATATGTGGGAAAAGAGGTAAAGTGGGATATGTTGAAACACCTTCGAGGGATGACTAAGGGTTGGATATCGGCTAACTTGCTGTCTCCAAGTTTTGTCAGGATTCAAGCTGCTTTAGTGAGGCAATATCCTCCGCTTCTTTTGGAAGGATCCTTTTGGTGATGTGCTGGTGGAGATCGTCTTGTTTGGGGATGTAGCAAAATCTCTTTATGTTTATTTTGGGTGGAGATAAAATTATTCTTCTCTATTTTTAAGGTAGTGTCAAATATATTCTTTTTATGTAGAAATTGCAATTTCTAAAGTGCTTATAGCTCTTTAAAGCGTGATATGTCAAAATCGAAAATTTCATTGATTGTAAATTTATAATATTCTTTTTTGTATAGCAGAGATGGAAAGATATTTTTAAAAAGGGCCCCGTCAACAAAGTGCTTGTGAAAGTGTCTCAAAATGAGATACTTTGAATCCAAATTTATATTTGCACTTTTCGTTATGATATTTTATATTTTTTTTATTAAATAATTGGGCCCCCTCCATTATATTTGCTAGATCCCCCCCTGCAACTCACCGATTGAACATTCCAGCTCATAGCGGCCCCTAAGCGGACATAACTTTCGTCCATACTTTAATGATCTTTCGGGCGATCATCTCTTTTTTTTTTTTTGTCACGGAACTCATGATGGTCGTGGAAATGACCTTTTTGAGTTACTGAGGCAAGTGTTTGGAGAGGATTATTGGTAGGATGATTTTTTGCGGACTAATTTGAGTATTCTTATGAAGCATTTGAGCTAAGAGCTCAGTGATGCTCTAACAAAAGTGGAATTTTGGAAAATTTGAGCAACATCTTGATGAGGGAGAGAGTTTTCTCGAGCCCTAAGGTGTTGGTGGGCTGTTTGTTTAGTTGTTCAAACGAATTGCTCAATCAAGGTTGGAAGAGGGCTGCTAGAAAGATCCCTGAATAGAAAGGAATCACCTTTCCGGCTGTGGATGTTATAACTGATTGAGTGGTATAGAATTGTATTAGCAGTAGATTTAGTCTTAGTGAGTGCCATCAATTTCGCTATTCATGGTTGCTCTTTATTTCATCGCATTTTCAAAGAGTAGAGGGTGGGTTAAGTAAGGCATAGCGCGCAGCGAGTCAAAGAGGCGCAGTCAAGCACGATCGTAGCCGGTAATCTGTGAAAGAAGTGGACTTAGTCCATGCCTGTTAGCATTCAGTCAAGTGAGACACTATACTTCTAAGGCATTCAAGACGAATTCCTAGTCCACAGTGCTCACATTTAGATATTGGATAGGGGTTAGAGTTTCCATCTTTAGGGAGGCGGCCCAATGCCGAAGGAATTGCCTGTATAGAGATTGAAAAATGAATAAATTTAACGACAATCAGCTGCCTATGGTGCTCCAAGCATCAAAGTGCCTAAACCCGCCACACACAATGGTATGAGGAATTCCACAAATGTGGAGAACTTTCTATTTGGCTTTGAGTAATACTTTGAGGCCATGAAAACTAGGAAAGCAATAAAGAAAAGAATGTTAAAGTTACAACGCAAGAGATCTTATATATAAAGAAGGAATTATCATTGTTTTGGCTATTGGCATTGTTTTGGCTATTGATTTCTAAGTAATTACCCCATAGATCCTATATCTATCTATATAAAGAAGGAATTATCATTGTTTTGGCTATTGGCATTGTTTGAGGACGAAATGTTTGATTGTAACACGTATGTTTTTAAGAAAAAAATCGTGGGAAGATTCACCAAAACTCTTAATTGGACCCTTCCTCTAGTGCCAGTTTGTTGATAGTGGATTGTTACGAAACTAATTAAGTGTGGATAAGTAGTAATTTGATAAGGAAACTGGGTAACGTAATTGTTAATAGGTATCACCATGTAAACGAGAGATCAGTATAGTTCAATGATTGAGAGGGAATAAGTATGTGACTAAGTATATTTGAAAAGATGAGTTTCCAGTGTTTCTCATTTGTTTTGTTTTGTTTTTTTCTTTTTTTGTTTTTTTTTTTTTGTTTTTTTTCTTTCTTTTAGGCGCTTTAAGTGTTGAATTTATACATGTATATAGCAAAAAGACAATGATTGTCGTTTGCCAACTAAGGGTTCGAGTGGTTGAAATGTGAATTAATGTAAATCCTAACTTTTGATGATGAGACCCAAATTACGGCTTTTGATGATGGGGTGGGTAGAGCGGTTGCTTTTTCGATTCTTGTTCACACGGACTAGATCGATCAACATTTGATGTTAGCTCGCAGATTGACTCTTAAGTTGGAGAAAGATCGGCATATGACTGGTCATATGAGCACTTGAGTTCCTTTTACTAGTTGTGGCCTTAATCGGCATGGGCCTAATTTCAATATGAACAACCCGGTTTTTGGTGTGGTGGGCCAGCCCAGAACATCAATGCACAACAAAATTTAATTTCTCAACGTTTTTTTCATACTTTGTATTACGAAGGTATCTAGTGTAAAGATGAAATCTTTTTCGAGTATAAGCATTTAAACCTTTCTTGGGGTAGAGAATATATGATATGGTGATCATATATTAGGCTAAAATTTATTGACGTCCTTATTGCATGTTTTGATTATCTTAATCCCAAAGGTTGAGTTTTTGGTAATTTCATAATCTTCTAAGGATTACGTGATCGACAGACGCGTATTTATGATGGAATTAATGCACTTGGATAGATCTTTTAGTGCTAATAAAGGTATATTATTATATTGACTTAATGTATTACATGTTCATATAGTTGAACGACTTAGAGCATTTCCAATGCTTAAATGTAGTTGTAGTAAATTACATTCTACATTAATATATTTAACAAATTATCCACTTTGAATCCTCCAATACACAATGTTATTACAAATGTAGTGATGAGGTGGACATAATTAATGTCTATAATGTAGAGAAGAATGTGGTTCATTCACATTCAAGTCAACCAATGAAGAGGGGAGACATAAATATTATTACCATTTCCAAAATATCTAATTATTTCATTCTTTTTTTTTTCATATCTATAACTTTTTTATTTTTGTCAAGTGGACAATAATGTGTTTGATTATATTGTGCATTGGAAACAATTTTTTAGAATTAAAGTTGTGAACCTAATAATTATCTTATGTGGTTCACAATCCATCTAATTAATTGACATTTGTCAAAAATTATGTAATAACAACATTTATGCATTTGCTGGACAAAATGTAATTGCGTATAAACTGAAATTTAAGCTTCAGTACAGAGTGAATTGTGTATATTTTGCTTGGAAATATATTTTGTTTTTATTTGTTAGTTACATCCCCATGTGTCTTTGACAAAACTTCCTGTTGAAATGTATTATTTATTTCTTTCACTCGGGTAGGTGCCGTGACATACGATACCCGCTTTGTAGGCTGGCGGCTGCCGGCGAAGGGGTGGTGGAAGTTGAATACGGATGGGGCTTTTGATTCTTCGACGGGGCTAGGCAATGCTGGTGGATTAATTCGGGATGAGATGGGTCGTTGGATTGATGGCTTTAGCATGAATATTGGGGCTTGTACCATCATGGGAGCCGAACTTTGGGGTCTTTTTCATGGACTCCGGCTTGCATGAGATTTGGGATTTCCTAAAGTAGTTGCCGAGGTGGATAGCCAATGTGTGATCCAGCTGGTCTTCGGGCCCGAGAACTATGCCGGCCCACATGCAGCGCTTGTTAAGGAGATCCGATGGATGGCTCGGTGGGATTGGAGGATTCAGATACAACATGTTCATCGAGAGGCCAATTTTGCGGCCGATCATCTAGCGGACATTGCTTCATCTTTCTCGGTTGGTTTCCACAGACTTCATACTCCCCCAGATGGACTTCGTCACTGGCTGAGCCACGATATTATGGGAGTTTCCTACCCTCGTCGGGTCCGTAGCTAGGTCTTTGACCTCCTTCATTGTACCAAAAAAAAAATTATTAATTCAAATCATAGACAAGAGGTTTGTACTCAAATTACTCCACCAATTCAACATTCACACCATCAAAAAAGAAAAAAGAAAAAAAATGAAATTTTCCCTGGCGTCAGGCCCGAGGATATTGACAGGGAGGAGAAGCTGGGATTGACACTCAGAAAAAAGAATCTGCTGTTTGTGATACCGACTAAACGCATAAATTGTTGAATGACTAAAGAAAGAACGTATTATACACTTCAAAGACCAAATGAGTTTGAAATTTCAAGTGAAATCATTTTACATAAGCAATACAGGAAGAACAAGACACAGAGTAGGTAAAATGACATGAAAATCCGTTTTGCCATTAGCTACTTTAGTCAGAACAAATTAAAGAAACAATGGATAAACTCATGAGGCCTCTGTTTTAGCCCTTGCTCCCGTAGATAGGGAATCACTTTCAAGGGCACTTTCCTGCGCAAGGTTATGCCCACCATTTCCCTCATGTCCACCTCGTCAGGCCCAAGCCCATCCGCAAGCTTCCAGTCGAACGTCTGAAGCAAACTAGCAATGGTCAGGCTCACCGTCCTGTGACCCAAAGTCATGCCCAAGCAGCTCCTTCGGCCCGAACCAAACGGGATCATCTCAAAATGCTGCCCCTTGAACTCTACATCACACTCCAAAAACCTCTCCGGTTTAAATGACAACGGGTCGGGCCAAGCTTCCGGGTCCCTATGGATCGCCCACGCGTTAACAAGTAGTTGTGTGTTTTTAGGCACAAAGTAGCCCATTAGCTCCGTGTCCTCCATCGAGTTCCGCGGAATCAGCATTTGTAGAGCAGGGTGTAACCGTAATATTTCCTTTACTGTTGCCTGCAAATAGGGCATTCGGGTCAAGTCATCCTCTTGGACTCTGCGGGTACGCCCCATGACCCGGCCAATCTCGTCTTGGATCTTTTTTCATCGTGTTCGGGTGGCGGAGTAACTCCGCCATTCCCCACTCGATGGTGGTGCTCGTCGTTTCTGTTCCTGCGAAAAACATTTCCTTGAGCGACACGAAACTATTCCGGTTAGTGGATGCGAACCGCGACATATATAATAGTTTATTTAAAAAAATATATATATATTTATTTATTTACCATGATTGCAATTGCAATGTTCTTAGCTGAAAGCTTATCGAGCCCATCCTCGTCGACTTCACCTTCATCAAGCAATGCGTCTAACAAATCTTCCCTTTTCTTTCCGATTCCCGATTCCCTCTCCCGAATCCTATCCTCCACAATCCCGGAAGCAAACACTATCAACCTTCCCAAATACTTNTCTATGCTTCTTGTATCTGGTGTTGATGTTTTGTGTTTCACAATACCACCATAATATTGTACAGTGGGGTTTGTTTGGACTATTGAAACAGTCAGGACTAGCTATATATCTATGTGCTAGTTTGCCTTAAGGAGGTTGAATGTTTGACCCCTCTTTTTTCAATCATGATACGGGCTGTGTTTCTGATCGATAAGGGCCTGCTTTGTCTAATGCTATATCAAGTAAAATCCATTCCAATCTGGCAAGGAGAAGAGTACCCATGATCCGAATAAACAAAGTAAGAGGGATGGTAAATGGTAAATGGCCACTCAGTTAGCCAAAATATGTTCAGGAAGTACAAATTTGAAACAAGAACAAAACCAAGATTGTGTTCCTCTCTTTTCTATCTTCTTCCACTCTGCATTAGATACTCGGTAATAATATGCAACATGGGATGCAATGGAAGATAACCAGAGCCAAGATCTATTGGAATGATAATTTTTTTTTTCAACTAATTTAAAATTGTATACTTTATAGTGATTGGCAGTTGGTAGAATCGACAATTCGTATAATTCAGAGTTAGCGAAACATATTTCATGACTCAGAGATAGATTTGGCTCATTGGGGCCGGGATGCAGATCATAGCACACTGTAACACCTCACCCGTTTGGTTTTTGCTGGTTATTTAACAACTCAATATCGTGTACTTACTTACATGGTCATAAGGCTGTAAACTGAACACAACCAGGGTTCCCAATGCATGGCATTGCTGCTCATTGACTCGAATGTGTGCGAGAAGGAGTGAGGGTTTTATTCTATTGTTTCATAAATCGAGAATTATCTTCTTCATACTATTCTTTGTTTCCATTTCTTACTCTCCCTGCTCATTAGAATAAATTTTCCTCTTATTAGTTCTATTTTGTCAGATATGGACCATAGTAATTGGTACATATGTAGGTCGATTCTCCTCTGGTGGTGTTGGTGATGATGATGATGATGATGATGATTTAGGGTTAGATCATGTTTCTTCTCAAATTTTTGCATGAAATTAGTTCTGTTTTGTTTCTTACCTATTTAACTTTGTTGTTTGGTTAATTTTCTGTGGGTAATTGTTTGGTTAATTTTTCTGTAAGTGATTGAAAAACTTCCATTTGCACGACTCATCGCTTAAATCACCATACATCATACATCATTTAATCGTTTTATCCTGTGTTGTTGGAGATTTCTTTGTGATTTGAACTTGTTTATTAATTAAGACTATCACATCCTGATTGGGTTGATCTACACCGTGCATCAAACAGCTATTGCATGTTATCATCCAATTCTTCACAAGTTGTTTGGCTGTTTCCTTCAACAATTGTATTAAACTACTCTCAACACTTGGTAACTTCTCTTCTGCTAGCAACCATCAATCTTTTAGTCAACTTCAATTGACTAACATATCAGCTAAATCTTCAACATAGAAAAACCAAAACATATATGCACCAATAGTTTGCATGTATGTAAACGTATGGAACCAAGTGTTTCGGATTTGATAGCAAAGGTGTTCATATGTTTCTGTCAAGACTGCTTTGTGCTTTTTGTTGGCTGGCTTATTAAGCAGTAAAATCAAAATAATTGCACCAAAAGTCTGCAAATAATTATGTGCATAAGGCTTTTGTGTATTAACTATTATGTATGAAAACATATGAAAGCAAGTGTTTGATAAGATGTAAAAAGAAACACGGCTAAATGATTGTTTTTCAGCCAAAGTGTTGAAATAATGTTTGGTTATCACATTTTTTGCGTAGTTCGTTTGTTTGTTTGTT